AGACAACACTGCTATAGTGCCTTTCACCTGCAGAAGGGAAAGTGATCCTATTTTTCTGTGGCTTAAAGTGAAATACAAGGCAGTGATATGTACATAACAGAATCAGTGTGATGTAGTGACCAATTCAACTGAGAAAACCTAGCTGGATTCAAGTCCCAGTGTTTATCTAAATTACTTTGGGTCAAGCACAGCTGAGTCTGTGAGTTGGAGCAGCCTTATGAATTGAAATTGTAGATATAAATTATAAATAAATAGTGTACCTTTCAAGTTTGTTGTGAGATAAAAGGAGGAGGGACCACATATTCAAGTCCCAGTGTTTATCTAAATTACTTTGGGTAAAGCACAGCTGAGTCTGTGAGTTGGAGCAGCCTTATGAATTGAAATTGTAGATATAAATTATAAATAAATAGTGTACCTTTCAAGTTTGTTGTGAGATAAAAGGAGGAGGGACCACATATACAATGAATTCCTTAGTGCAGGGCTAGGTTAAAAATAAAATAAAATACCTATCTGCTTTCTTGTATTTCTTTCAGAGTGGAAAACTCAGCAAAGAGCTGGACTTTGTCAGCCACCACGTCCGGACGAAATTAGATGAACTGAAGAGACAGGAGGTGTCCCGGCTCCGGATGCTCCTGAAAGCCAAAATGGATGCCGCAATGGAACAAGGTGAGCTGAGATAGGCGGGTGGTGGTGGTGGGGTTCCTAGAAGTGCTGAGAACAGAGAATGGTTGAAGCCACAAATCCTGGGTTCTGTTGTTGTAGACAGATGATGAATAGCTGTTTGGTGGCTGGTCATGTCCGCTATGGAATCACTGTGCAAACAGGTGGATTTCTTGTGGCAGCCATTTTGTTATTGTATCCCCCAAATTCCAAATAAGTTGCCAGATAAACTAATCACTGGATTAACAGCTCCTAACTGCTTCTTTTGGGTTTAATACATATACTAATACTAATAACATGGTTATTTGGCTAAGTTGATGAAAACTTGTTAGTTTATCTTCAAGTCAGTTTTCTCTAATATTCTATTACTGCTGATGGGTGTCCCCTTGTGTCTCAGGATATTAAAGGGGAGTGGAGGGGGCTCCTTCTCAAAAGCCCCATCAAAATCAAGTAATCATAGATATTGTGTCCTTAAATAAGAAAATTCTATTGATTGAAATCAACTAACCTGTTTTGTTGAATGCGCTAAGCCATAATTCAGTTTATCTGGCTTTGCAGGAGCACGTTGTGTGAACTTAGCATTGTGATTTATTCAATAAACAACAGTTAAGCCAGCTTTGGTGTAGTGCAGTATGTGAACCCCAGCGTTGTCTGGTTTCTGCTTAAGCTTGAAGTCTGAAACTATGGCCTTCATCTCCATTTTTGATCTTCTCCCATCAGATGTCCAGGTAGATCACCTGTCCTTATTGAGGCAGTTTGAACATCTAGACTCTCAAAACCAGCACACATTTGAAGCCCAAGATTTGGAACTGCTCATTAAAGCCGTATGTTTGAACTTTTTTTTATTTCTTTCAAATCAGTAAGTCTCTGAATCTGCTGTCTATACTCTAGCCCCTGCTTCCTGTCTGTATATTGTGGTACAAGCCCAGAGAGTATTCCCTTTTCCTTCTCTTTCTCTCCCCTGTCTAGATTTGGCAGAAGAGAGAAATGCTGTAGGGGTGGTGAGAGGTGCTTAGAAGGCCCTGGCTCTTGATTTAGAGCAGTTGCAGGATTGATCCCTTTTCCTTTTCACCTTTGTTTGGTGCTGGGCCTTGGAGGGCCTGGTTAGGTCTGTGCTAAAATGGGAAGCCCCAGCCTCCAGACACCTTCCAAAATACAGAAACACTCTAAAGATAATCCATGCTTCTTCCCTCCCACCCCTTTTCTATCCTAGGAGCATTAACCTGGAGATTAAAACTGATCTTGTCTCATTTACCTCACCAAACAGCAGTGGAGAGCTTGCAATAAAATATTTTCCAGTTTGGTGATTGCTGTTGTTGATGGGAGTTTGGGTCCAAAAAGACTGAAAGACATGAGGTTGGAACAGACTGCCCTGGCCAGTAATATATTTTTATTTTGAAGACAGGATCAGCATTAATTTCTCTATATTAGGCAGACAGATAAGTGCAAGAGGCTTGCTGAAGATCCCTCAGTGAGTTTATTACTGAATATAAACTCAGACTAGGGACCTCTTGGTTCATAGTCCACTATCTTAGCCACCACAATATATGGGAGGCTGCTCAGAAGCCAGACCTGGCAGGCCTGCATGAAGACAATGCTGGGGTCTCTGGCACAGAGTAGAGGCCAGTGGGAGTGATGCAATTGTTCAGAATTACTTGGAAACATGCGGGATGGGGGGATTACAGAAGGAAGGTGGTTTCCTCCCATGCCAGTAATGATGGCTCTTGCTTGTCTTTATCTTTCTCTCTTAGGCTACCAAGGATCTGGAGAATTATGATGCAGCTCACCATGAGGAATTCAAACGCTACGAGATGATGAAGGAGCATGAGCGTCGGGAATACCTGAAATCTCTGGATGAGGAGAAGCGTCGCGAGGAGGAAGCACATTTTGAAGAACTCAAGAAGAAGCATAAGGAGCACCCCAAAGTCAATGTCCCGGTAGGAGAACCTCTCTTGGGCTTCCAGGGAATCGGGTGGGGAATTCTTACTTTGGCTTGAGTTTTTCATTCTGTCCTTACTCCATGCAGGGCAGCCGTGATCAGCTCAAAGAGGTCTGGCAGGAGACTGATGGTTTGGACCCCAGTGAATTTAACCCCAAGACATTCTTCAAACTTCATGGTAGGGAAGTCTTTATGTGTAGTTCTAACTATGGAGTCATTGGGGTTCTCTGAGCTTGGTTTTCTTGCAGACGTTTTGTTACCCGGCTAGGTAACATCTTCCGTGCTAGAAGGGAGTGGGGTTTGCTGATTATGTACAGTAGCTTGCCCTGTCAGTGTTGGTGGGGGTGTTGTTTGCTCCTTGGTAGTTCCTTGATTAGGCTGTTGTTTACTGCTTGATTGTTTGTCTGGTGTTAAT